ATGTTAAATGATACAGACCAGCTACGCACGGGTACGCAGTAACTGGTATAATCTATGGGATTGCAGTTTATCAATAAAGCACAAATGGGAGTGAAAAAATGTAAAATGTAAATTATTAAAAATGTTAGATGATACGCGCCAGCTATGCCCGGCAGTAACCGATATAATCTATGGAATTGCAGTTAATCAAAAGAAAAGACACAGAAGATATCCATCGTCTGGAGGTACCTTCGGATCAAACACACAGATGTTCGATTTCAAATTTGTATTTCATGGAAACCAATTGTGTGCAGAACAAATATCGCGTGCTAATTTCAGAAAATTCGTTCATAAATAATCCTGAGAATTAAATTAAAAACAGGGAGAGAGATTTTTTCATGCCCTGCAAACACCACCGCTCACTAACCCAGCTTAATTACAGCACTCCTCAACATCACCCAAGGTAGTGAAAATATCATCATCCCTCTAAAGTATCATCGTTCCTCTAAAGTATCATCGTCCCTTTAAAGCATCATCATCCCTCTACATTTTGCACTCATTTCATTCTTCACACCCAACGAAAGAGAAATCGCTCTATCTTACCCTCGGTTCCATGCCTGGCTACATGCAATCCCCCAGTCCCCTCAGCTACATGCAATCTCCGTCCATCCGCCTCAGCCCTCACAACCCTCAGTGTTACCCTCGCTCCTTCGCCCCATTCAGCATCAGGAACCCTCGCCTAACATTACCCTTGCCCCTCTCCCCCTGCTTCCCCTCCCTTCCCCTCACCAGCCCTCGCGTCACTCCTTGAAAACGCGGTGTCAGGCACAGATGTGGTGACTAGTGACCTGCTGCTGGTGACTAGTGACATTCTGATGAATAGTGAAGTGCTGGTAACTAATATCCAACTGGGGACTAGTGACTTCCTTGGCTCTACTAATTGGAGACTTACAAAAATTTATATACTAAATACAAAAAATTTATGTAACAAGTGTGGTGTCATAATTCCATTCACGACAATTTCGATACAGTCATATATACGAATTGCCATAAGATATATTATTATCGGGTTCCAAAGGCCGGATCCCTTGTGAATCAAGTCACGAAAAGTTCAAGAATCGGCAACAGGCCATGGGCCTATTTCTTCAACGCCAACACTTCTATTCTATTCTATATCAATGGTGATTGGTGAACATGGTATGGTATTCCCTTATAGATTTAATGAATTTTATAATTTAGAAATTTTCGAGATTGGATCATTCTAATAAAATAGTAAAATCTAAATTAAAATTTAAAATTAATTTTGAACAAAATCAATCCATGCCAAATGAATCCATCCATGAACAGACACGGCAGGCATTCATACGTACAAATTTTTCTCGCGTTACGTCCTTAAAGTAATTGTTTAATATTCATGCACAAATATAACAATTTAATTCATTTATTTATACTGCAATATATTTCCACGTTAAATTCATTATTTCTTCAACCATCTTACACTATTTTGCGCGTTGCTTTATTCCTATATGCGTAATGATGTAGAAAATTGCTTTTAGATTTTCGTTCATTTTTTTGGGGACGAGCCAGGTTTTTTATACCGGCATAGCAACATATTTTTAAATCCGTCAGAGCGATATATTTTTACATCCATCAGAGCGACATATTTTTACATCCGCCGAAGCTACATATTTCCCTTACGCCAAAACGACGTAATTTAAATACACCAAAGCGACGTATTTTAGATCTTTCAAAGCGACGTATCTGTCTCTTATACACATCTANTGACTAGTGACCTGCTGCTGGTGACTAGTGACCTGCTGCTGGTGACTAGTGACCTGCTGCTGGTGACTAGTGACCTGCTGCTGGTGACTAGTGACCTGCTGCTGGTGACTAGTGACCTGCTGCTGGTGACTAGTGACCTGCTGCTGGTGACTTGTGACCTGCTGCTGGCGACTAGTGACCTGCTAATGGTAACTAGTGACATTCTGATGAATAGTGAAGTGCTGGTAACTAATATCCAACTGGGGACTAGTGACTTCCTTGGCTCTACTAATTGGAGACTTACATAAATTTGTATACTAAATACATAAAATTTATATAACAAGTGTGGTGTCATAATACCTTTCAAGACAATTTCGATACTGTCAAATACGCATTGCCATAAGATATTATATTATTATACCTATGGTGAACATGGTATGGTATTCCCGTATAGATTCAATGAATTTTATAATTCAGAAATTTTTGAGAGTGGATCATTCTAATAAAATATTAAAATCTAAATTAAAATTTAAAATGGATTTGGAACAAAATCAATCCATGCCAAATATATGAACAGACACGGCAGGTATTCATACGTACAATTTTCTCTCGAGTTACGTCCTTGAAGTAATTTGTTCATATTAATGCACAAAAATAACAATGCAATTCATTTATTTATACTGCAATATATTTCCACGTTAAATTCATTATTTCTTCAACCATCTTACACTATTTTTAAATTACCTGAGATATAAACACGCCACTGGTACGTAATTGCTAGGACAATGCACATTTAAATTGAGTGTTCTTGTTCAGCTAGCAGGATATAATCCTGTCGGATTATACACCCTTTGTAAAGGATAATAATTACAAAATTTAATTTTTATCCTAAAACGTATTTTCATTTTCCAATTTTATTGCAGCGGTGGGCCAAACACATGCCAACATCAATTATTCACAATTACAGAATATAGTTCCTGTCTGAAGCCCAAAGAAGTAGTAATAATTTAGAACTTTTCGCTTAGTTGCCGAGGTCTGGACGGCACTCGCGCTGCTTCTTTTAATGAAGCACTGACATTAAGTCCTCGCAGCGAGGCTCATTTTCCACGCTAAAAATTTTGGTTGGCAAATCCGTGGATCCCTTAAGCTCACACTCGGCCATCTAAAATTAACTATCCATTTTTAGTATACAAATATCAAATTAATTATTACTGCCACGCGCCTTCGCCTCAGGTTAAATCATGGCCGCTGGATCGATGGCCACTGTAAGACCGGCGTAAGGCCGTCCCTAGTCTTCGCCGGCCTCTCGGCGGTGCAGAAAGACAATGCATTCAAGTTTCGGTGACGCAAATCCTTTGTCTAGCCGGCAAGCTGAGTCGCTTACAGGGCTTTATGACGGCGTTTGTTTACAGCGATGTTTTATACCGGAGTTAAGTGTGCCAACCTGACAGATACGGCGTAAAGAGGGCAATAGCTTGAGATATACGGCGTAAAAAGGCAATAGCTTCAGTCGTACAGCGTACAAAAAGGAATAGCTTCAAACATACGGCTCATTGTTACGGCCCATTCGCAGGCAGCCTCTCTGCTGCCTTCGCTCTTCGGCTCACGGAGCTCGGAACTTGAGAATCGACCGAATCGAGTTTGCCAGCTCTTGAAGTAATAGACTTGGGTAAATGGTCCCCGACAGTGGAGGTAGAGAAACTTAGGCAAACAAGGAGTAGAAAACGTTACCATGCGATGTAGGTAACGGAAGTGTGATGGAAATTAATAGAAAAGTTGACCAAGTACATTCCAACCAAAGTACTCTAACTACAGGCCAAAGCACGGGTGGAAAGAGAACTAACCAGGTTGATTGAGCCTCTGTTTTGTGGCACGGAATTTTAGGTACGACGCAAATGAGGTTCATTGGGGGTCAAAGAATAGTATTTAGCGGATACCTCGCCAAGATGAAAAATAAAAAAATTTATGAGTTGAAAATAGGAGATATGATTTAATACAAGAAAGGGAAACAGCAAACCTGACCGAGCATAGGCCGAGCAGGCTACAGACTGCTACAGAGACCAGGGGCCATACTTTCAAAATTCGCCTAGTGAACGTAAGTACTTACGCTCTATTTTCTTTTCTATGATTGGTGGATTTTACTTGAATGGCCGTCAATGAGTAGCTGATGAACTTACGATCTCTTAACTTTTTTTTTAAAGTATAGGCCGACAAGCTGCGTACTGCGTGACACAGGCCACACAGGCCGCAGACCCTGAGTTACTAAGCCAGGCAGGGCGCAGTTTCCTCGAGACAGATGATCGGACGATCGCTGCTAGGAAGCAGCCAGTAAAGCCGGACTATGATGAAGGCGACCTCACTGAACAATAATGAGCGGCATAATTAATGGAGGCAAGTACGTGGAGACAAAAAAATGCATTTTTGGAAATGAAACATCTGTGGACTTTGATGATCACAAGCTCAACTTTTGATGCATATCGAGCGATATAAAGTTGTAAGGCGGCGATATTAAGCGCCTCCTGACTCATTATATATTTCTGCATGACGACACCTAGGGATTCATTGTCTAAGTGCGTGCGGGATAAGTAAGACATCATCTATCTAAAGAACTTATCTTGATACAGGGTGGTTACATGCGAGTTGTATCAGAGTTATAACGCTAACACGTCGACCGTTAGGTCAGAGCAGCTCGCGCTAATGCGAGTTAAATGGCAGCGTACTTAATTGTCAGTTACTGGGGGTCCTGACAACGGTTGCCAGCCCTTTTATAGAAACACAACTTCCGCCCACTATTAGCGTTTTGATCGCGTGATGTGTCACTCGATGTTGTCCATGCTGACACAGGTCTAGTACTTTTCCATCAATATACCACGTCTAGTGGTATATTGTACGTCTCGTACAATATACAGTGGCATCGTATATATATAATATCTTACATATATAATATCAAGTGGTATATTAGTACGTCTCGATTACAGATGAGCTAATCTTAGAATATAATTATAATGAATAGAATGACGCACCTCATTGACAACGGACAAAGACCATCGAGAAGCTCGTTCACAAAAGCGAATTGTTCATGGGCTGCCATATTGTTCATGGGCTGCGATTGAAGTTAGGGATAATGAGCCTCGCGAAAAGTGGTACGGTAGAATAATGGATAAAAATCAAGAAAATCGATTAGAAATCAGAACAATAACCTGAAACGATTAGGAACTGTTGAGGAAATGTTTGTTGTCTATTAGCAACAGGAAGCGTACTTATGTCAACACGCGCACAACGATGCTGTTGACGGGGCTGTTAACGGGGCTGTTGACGGCGCTGTTGACGGGGCTGTTGACGGGGCTGTTGACGGGGCTGTTGACGGGGCTGTTGACGGGGCTGTTGACGGGGCTGTTTTAAATTACCTGAGATATAAACACGCCACTGGTACGTAATTGCTAGGACAATGCACATTTAAATTGAGTGTTCTTGTTCAGCTAGCAGGATATAATCCTGTCGGATTATACACCCTTTGTAAAGGATAATAATTACAAAATTTAATTTTTATCCTAAAACGTATTTTCATTTTCCAATTTTATTGCAGCGGTGGGCCAAACACATGCCAACATCAATTATTCACAATTACAGAATATAGTTCCTGTCTGAAGCCCAAAGAAGTAGTAATAATTTAGAACTTTTCGCTTAGTTGCCGAGGTCTGGACGGCACTCGCGCTGCTTCTTTTAATGAAGCACTGACATTAAGTCCTCGCAGCGAGGCTCATTTTCCACGCTAAAAATTTTGGTTGGCAAATCCGTGGATCCCTTAAGCTCACACTCGGCCATCTAAAATTAACTATCCATTTTTAGTATACAAATATCAAATTAATTATTACTGCCACGCGCCTTCGCCTCAGGTTAAATCATGGCCGCTGGATCGATGGCCACTGTAAGACCGGCGTAAGGCCGTCCCTAGTCTTCGCCGGCCTCTCGGCGGTGCAGAAAGACAATGCATTCAAGTTTCGGTGACGCAAATCCTTTGTCTAGCCGGCAAGCTGAGTCGCTTACAGGGCTTTATGACGGCGTTTGTTTACAGCGATGTTTTATACCGGAGTTAAGTGTGCCAACCTGACAGATACGGCGTAAAGAGGGCAATAGCTTGAGATATACGGCGTAAAAAGGCAATAGCTTCAGTCGTACAGCGTACAAAAAGGAATAGCTTCAAACATACGGCTCATTGTTACGGCCCATTCGCAGGCAGCCTCTCTGCTGCCTTCGCTCTTCGGCTCACGGAGCTCGGAACTTGAGAATCGACCGAATCGAGTTTGCCAGCTCTTGAAGTAATAGACTTGGGTAAATGGTCCCCGACAGTGGAGGTAGAGAAACTTAGGCAAACAAGGAGTAGAAAACGTTACCATGCGATGTAGGTAACGGAAGTGTGATGGAAATTAATAGAAAAGTTGACCAAGTACATTCCAACCAAAGTACTCTAACTACAGGCCAAAGCACGGGTGGAAAGAGAACTAACCAGGTTGATTGAGCCTCTGTTTTGTGGCACGGAATTTTAGGTACGACGCAAATGAGGTTCATTGGGGGTCAAAGAATAGTATTTAGCGGATACCTCGCCAAGATGAAAAATAAAAAAATTTATGAGTTGAAAATAGGAGATATGATTTAATACAAGAAAGGGAAACAGCAAACCTGACCGAGCATAGGCCGAGCAGGCTACAGACTGCTACAAAGACCAGGAGCCATACTTTCAAAATTCGCCAAGTGAACGTAAGTACTTACGCTCAATTTTCTTGTCTATTATTAGTGGATTTTACTTGTGAGGCCGTCAATGATTGGCCGATGAACTTACGATCTCTTAACTTTTTTTTAAGGTATAGATGCCCTGGCGTACTGCGCGTGACAGAGGCCATGCAGGCTACGAACTACGTGACAGAGGCCATGCAAGCTGCAGACTGCGTGACAAAAGCCAGGTAGGCAGCAGACTCTGCATGACACAGGCCAGGCAGGCCGCGAACCCTGAGTTTCTAAGCCAGGCAGGGCGCAATTTCCTCAAGTCAGATGATCGGGCGATCGCTGCTAGGAAGCAGCCAATGAAGCCCGGACTTTGAGGAAGGCGTTCTCACTGAACAATAATGAGCGGCATAATGGAGGCAAGGGGAGACAAAAAATGCACTTTTTCAAATGAAGCATCTGTGGGCTTTGAGGATCACAAGCCTAACTTTGATGCATAACGAGCGATAAAAAGTTGTCAGGCGCCGATATTAATGAGTAAATTAACCGACATTATGTATTTCTACCTGAGGACCGCTTCGTTGTCTAAGTGCGTGAGGGATAAGTAAGACAAAATCTGTCTAGAAAACTTATCTTGATACGGAGTGGTTACATGGGAGTTATATCAGAGGTGTAAGGCAAAGACGTCGAGAGTTGGGTCGTAGTAGCTCTAACGCTAGTTAAATGTCGGCGTACTTGTCAGTTACTGGGGTGCCTGACTAAGGTTCCCAGCCCTTTTATAGAATCAAGACTTCCGCCCACTATTAGGGTTTTGATCATGTGATGTGTCACGTGATATTGTCCATGCTGACACAGGTCTAGTTTTTTACATCAATATGCCACGTCTAGTGGTATATTGTACGTCTCGTACAATATATAGTGGCATCGTATATATATAATATCTAGTGGTATATTAGTACGTCTCGATTACAGATGAGCTAATCTTAGAATATAATTATAATGAATAGAATGACGCACCTCGATCATTGACAATGGACAAAGGCCATCGAGATGCTCGTTGACAAAAGCGAATTCAGTTCAAAGAAGAAGTAAATTTCATATACAAAATTTACAATAACCTCACAGGGAATATTGACTAAAACAAAAATTGGCAGCCATGTTGTTCATGTGCTGCAATTGAAGTCAGGGGAAATGAGCCTCGCGAAAAGTGGTACGGTAGAAAAATGAAAAAAAAAATCAAAAAAGCGATTAAAAAACAGAACAATAATCTGAAACGATTAGGAAATGACGAGAAAATATTTGTTGTCTATTAGCAACAGGAAGCGTACTGATGTCAACAGGCGCACAACGGTGCTGTTGACGGGGCTGTTGACAGGGCTGTTGACAGGGCTGTTGACGGGGTTGTTGACAGCGCTGTTGACGTGGCTGTTGACGGGGCTGTTGACGGCGCTGTTGACGGGGCTGTTGACGGGGCTGTTGACGGGGCTGTTGACGGGGCTGTTGACGAGGCTGTTGACAGGGCTGTTGACATCGCTGTTGACGGGGCTGTTGACGGCGCTGTTGACAGGGTTGTTGACGGCCACAATCTAATCCGGCACTCGCATACGCAAACAATTTGGCGGGCGCACTCCTGCCACCGCTGTTAATTAACGTCCGCAGCACTGCCACCACTGCCACGACTGCCAACCTTCTTCTTGACTGCCACGACTGCCATCACTGCCAACCTTCTTCTTGACTGNCTGTTGAGCGCTGTTGACGGCGCTGTTGACGGGGCTGTTGACGGGGCTGTTGATGGGGCTGTTGACGGCGCTGTTGACAACCCCAATCTACGCCGAAACTCGCATACGCAAACAATTTGGCGGGCGCACTCCTGCCAGCGCTGTTAATTAGACGACCGCAGCACTGCCACGACTGCCATCACTGCCAACCTTCTTCTTGACTGCCACAGCTGCCACCACTGCCACGACTGCCAACCTTCTTCTTGACTGCCACGACTGCCATCACTGCCAACCTTCTTCTTGACTGCCACAACTGCCATCACAGCCAACCTTCTTCTTGACTGCCACCACTGCCACAACTGCCACGACTGCCATCACTGCAAGCCTGCCTTTACTGACTTACTGTCATATTGTCAACAGTACGATAACAGCAACAATGCCATTACCGCCTTACTGCCACCCTGCCATTAGTCACATTGCTGTTCGGGCAATCTTATTGTGGTATACAAAACACAATAATCAATCATACAATCTCAGTGTATACAATCTCAGTGTAGGTATACAAAAATCTGTCCATCGGCATTTAAAATCTGTATGACGGATCGGCATCTAAATTTACATGCCATCCTACTGTTATCCGAAGGCCAAGCAGCTGTTATCCGAAGGCCAAGCAGCTGTTATCAAAAAGCCAAGAAGCTGTTATCCGAAGGCCAAGAAGCTGTTATCCGAAAGCCAATCAGCTGTTATCCGAAGGCCAATCAGCTGTTATCCGAATTCACAAGTTAAAGCAATTAACTTTTAATTAACTATTCTTAGCTTCTGAAATGAGTTTTCAAGTCGTGAAAACTTAAGTCGTGTTGCTGAAAATTTTGTATTTTCCAAGGCCTGAAGTTTTTGGAACATTCGATGACTCAAGAGCCCTGCAGGGACAATGAAGCAGTACGATCAAACTAAACCAATTATTTGTTCAATATTATGAAATTAATGTTGGTTTATCAGGTTCTCTTCTTCGTCACATATTACTTTATATACATTGAAATTTCGGATACGAGCAGAACACAAGCAATATTTGTATACAATAAATTTAGTAATTAAATTTATTTCCGGTAGCCATTGCATGAGTAACGATCGTTCGACTAATTAATTAGCTATTGTTTCTAGCAGACGAGAACAAAGATAGCCTCACACAACATTCTTATCCATTCATCATTGAATCTTGCAATTTAACGATAACTAAACGTTCTGAAATATACAACATTAACACACTCAATCATTTATTGCTATATTTCGAAAAAAATTCTATATCAATTCCATTTCCATAAAATCTCAAAAATTTATAAAATAAAATTAAATCTCCATAACGCAGAACCATGCAGGTTTTAAATATTTTCAGCGAAGGATCGACCGGGCGGGATCGAAACTCTTAATTCCAAGTGATGTGATGTCGCCAGTGTGATTTTTCATAAATATGGACCATATTCGTCACAAGTCATGAAATTTTCCTATTTTGGATAGATCTTTATAAATATATCTATTACAAAAGCGAAATAAACGTTCAAAAAATATTTAAATGACTAAATTTAAATAAAATTCTAAAATCAAATCCTAATTTTTTATTTCAGTACAAATTGCCACGTTCGCAACACGTATTTTCAGAGCTCGTGGCAAGAAACAGTTCAGTTCACAGGAAAATAACAGAAAACAACAGGAGAAAAATACCGCATTTCTGAGAACGCGGTTCGCTTTTCTTGCTCACGCAACAAGGTCGAAAAATTTTTTTGTCAAAAATGCAAGCAGCCGAAAATTTCTCCATTCTTTTAAAAAATGGCACACATTTGAGGGCGATTTTGAGTGTGGCAGGCAACAAGAAAGGCCGCTCAGTGGCAACGAGCTGCCACCGAAACACAAACACTTACACGTAACACATACACACGCACACGAAACCCACACACGCAACATACGCGCACGCACACGCAAGACATACACACGCACACGCAACACATACACACACGCAACAAATACAAGTGCACACGCAAAACATGCAACATACACGTACACACGCAACACATAAACGTGCACACACACACGCAACACACACAGAAGAAACTGCGAAGTGCTGTGAAGTTGAAGCAACACTTGCTCAGTAGATAGGAATAAACAGGCTTCATATCCAAACGAGAAGAGATCAACGAATGCAAAGAAAGTATAATTTTTCGATAAAATCAACAAAGTATTCTAAATACATATCCAAATTAACGTGTGTACTGTTAAAGGAAACGAACCTAGACGAAATCGGCCGTGAAACGAATCTTAAAATCTGGACGGGACAGCATAGATATTATACAAATTCCCATGCAGCCAGAGATGTTATACAGATAATATTCAGATAATATTCAGAATAACTGTTTCTCGTAGTTATGATGCGATGATACATATTTAGTGAATCATTGTTTTCTTCTTTGTCAAGTTAAATTTATTATGAAACTTATCACATTTCTCAAGATTCTATGCGAATTCTACACGAATTCGTCAAATAATAAAACGTGCATAAAACTTAGAATTTCAAGTGATATTAAGTAAAAAAAAAAAGAGCAGTGACAGTTTGTACGGAACGAATCAACAAAAATTGTTCGTGAATGTGGAATGAATATGGTCGCTCGGTTCGGCTGACCACTATCACATTTAACATATAGATATAACGACAAGTAGCAGACATCGGTAGAAAAATATTACTTCATGTGCTTTTTAAGACTATTCAAGAAAAAATATAACTCAGTACTCACTGCAGTGAGTGACAGAGAGCGCATTTTTCCGTCCTTCCGTCCGTGAAGTCATGGACAGACAGACGGGCGGACGGACATGACGAGCACAATAGCGCCTTTTTTCCATAAATGAGAAAATGCGCTGAAAAGACGGAGAGGGGAAAATCAAATATCATGTCTGCAACAAATGTCACTAAACAAAATTACAGGCGGTTTATGGCCGGCCAGTGAATGGCCGTCGGCCAAGGAGCGCCGGTCGGGCTTCTCGAAGTCATCGGCTGCGCTTTTATAAGAAACTTTAAATTGGCAGTTGCTTCTGAACTCTCGGGAGACGCCGCACAGCAAACGAGTTCAAAAAGCAACACGTCTAAGTTACAAAACTTGAAAATTTAACTTTGAAAGATCATCCAAAGAAATAGTTACGAGCTCTTCTTACATATTGAATGATTTTATTCTAGGATTTATTTATATTTCAAAACTATCGCTGTAAGGATGAGATCCACGTATAGCTGAATTTCATCCAATGTGAATGAATTGTTTCTGTTATATCTAGTATCTTTTCTTAGTTATTGTCCAAACTTTATACTTTTTTTATCCGATGGACAGTGTTTTTTTTTGCAATTTGGTTCATTTTAATCATTGTCGATAACGATGGCATCTAGTCCGTATGTCAATATTAGCTAATATTTCACTATTAGCATTGAGAACGTCTTCGTTTACAAATATTGGTAAGCTGAATTTAGCTATACTGCCTTTCAAGTTGTGGTGAAAACAGTGTAAATTCTGGTGTGATCCACTCATGACCAGCGAAATAAAACAATAACTCTGAATGTGGTAAATAACAGAGTGGTAAGTCGTAAATAACAGAGTGGTAAGTGGTAAATAACAGAGTGGTAAGTGGTAAATAACAGAGGGAGTTCCGCCTTTCCGTTGAGCGAACTGATCGAAAACTGAAGCCTTTCATAAATAAGCCAAGAAAATACAAGTTGTGAATTACCGCCTGCAGACCCATTGAGAGCATGCTTCATTCGTATACTTTCAGAGCGTAGAATTACCATATCCCGACCTCCTGCAAACATTACTTCATGTACATAGCTCCTACAAACATATTACTTCTTCATATGCATAGCTCCTACAAACATATTACTTCTTCATATGCATAGCTCCTACAAACATATTAATTCTTCATATGCATAGCTCCTACAAACATATTACTTCTTCATATACATAGCTCCTACAAACATATTACTTCTTCATATACACAGCTCCTACAAACATATTAATTCTTCATATACATAGCTCCTACAAACATATTAAACTTTCATCACAAACAAACAGCTCTGAATCAATGCCTGCCTTCCTACCTCGTAAGATTCGCTGCTCAGAAGCACATGGAAATTATCGCCTTTTTTGGGTCAGCGTACACCACGCCACCTAAAATTCACCGGTGAATAATCGGTGAATAATCGCCGATAATCACCGGTAATAATAATCACCGGTATAAGTACCGGTGAATAATCGCCGTCTGAGCAACGGGGAATATTTTCCCCCATAATTCACCGAAAAGTTGAATGAAGGGAAGCCCTGTGCCAAAGAGAAGGGCTCGGTGAATAATCGCCGTCTGAGCAACGGGGAATATTTTCCCCCATAATTCACCGAAAAGTTCAATGAAGGGAAGCCCTGTGCCAAAGAGAAGGGCCGGGCGCAGCAGGCGCCTTTCAAAGCTACCATTGAACGGCAGTTGAAGCAGCCCGAATATACTACATGTATATAATGAACTAACGCAAATAAACTTCGAGTGTATGCGTAACATGAGCACAGTTATACATTTCAAGACGGGAGATGAAGTCAACATTAAGTTCATTGCAACATTAAGTTCATATAAACATGAAGTTCATTTAAAGATTAAGTTCATTCAAACATGAAGTTCATTCAAACATGAAGTTCATTTAAACATGAAATTAATTTAAACATGAAGTTCATTTCAACAGGAAGTTCATTTCAACATGGAATTGATCATATCAATTTCGAACACAGTCCTCCCTAAAGTTACGACGTCAGTCATCGTTTAAACATGAAGTTCATTTAAACATGAAGTTCATTTAAACATGAAGTTCATTTAAACATGAAGTTCATTTAAACATGAAGTTCATTTCAACATGAAGTTCATTTCAACATGGAATTGATCATATCAATTTCGAACACAGTCCTCCCTAAAGTTACGACGTCAGTCATCGTTTCAAATTATTTCGCATCTCAAAACCGTAATACCCTCAGTATCCATAATTGATCTGACAATTGAGAGGTTACAGGTTAGTATAGGATAGGTCCAATCACAAACCACCTCCCACAAGGCAAATGACGGTTAAACAACGTTGATCAATCGTTAATTTAATAAAAATTAAGTTTCATTCAAGTTGATTTTCTGTCACACGCGAAAGGGGCCGTACTAATGCAAAATGAGTAGAGAAGGCAGAGAACAGCATTGGAAGAAGGTAGATGACAGTATTAGAGGGAAGTAGGAAGCAGTATTGGTAGGAAGAAAAAGGTAGTATTGG